GGACTCGGGGAGACATGATAGGAGTCTTCCAGTATCTCAGGGGCTGCCACAAAAAAGAGGGAGTCACGATATTCTCCAAAGCTCCAGAGGGTAAGACAAGGAAGCAATGGGTAGAAACTAATCAAGGCGAGAAGCAACCTAGAACTAAGGAGAAAGTTCCTGACAGTGAGAACAATTAATCAGTGGAACAACTTGCCTCCAGAAGTTATGAATGCTCCGACGTCGGAAGTTTTTAAAAACTGGATAACCATGTGTCTGTAGTGGTGTAGGGTTTCCTCCCTAAGCAGGGGGTTGGACTAGAATAATTTCTGTAATTTAGCACTCAAATAATTTTTTTAAATAAGCTACTTAGAGAGTAATTCTCAGGCTCCAAAAACCAAGAAAGGCATGGTTCCTTCTAAACAGTTTTCTTTATTGTTCCTCATCTTATAGAGAGACGCCTGGCCAAACTAAAGCAAATAGTAGCATCATTAAAGATGTATTTACTCCGAGAACCTCTAGGGAGAAGTTATCTTAACTCCCTTCCTTCCAATTAAACTATCTCAACTTCGCTATCTCTTGGTCCTCTGAAATGCAGCCCCTCCCCCCTGGGAATCCAGGCTACATTCCACCAAATCAATAAGAACTAGAAATAATTTCAGATGATGAGGCCAACCAATCAGAACAAGAGCACATAAAAATCACCATTCAGTAGAGCGTTCCCTCCGATCCAAAGAATGGCATACAGAGCCATCTCTCCAGGCACGCTAGCTATCGCCCCTTGGTTCCTCTGGATTCCGGCAGGCACATGTGTGCCAGCCAGCTGGTCTTCGTGCACGCAGGAGTGCCAGAAACAGGAAGAGCAGCTCCCTGGTGAGCATGCGCACGCTGAGAAGCTGAGCTTTCTGTTTCCGGCATGCACACGTGCACCAGCCAGAAGCTGGAAGACCAGGTGACCGGCATGCATGCACACACCCAACACTGGAAGTTCAGAACTGCTCTTCCGGTTTCCAGCACTATTGCACATGCTCTCCGGGGAGCCACTCTCCTGGTTTCTGGTGCTTCCCCATGCGCATGGGCGCTCCGGTTTCAGCACTCGGGAGTTGAAAAGGTTCGCCAACACTGCCCTAGAGAATTCAGACCCACAGATTATAAACAGAACAAGGCAATGCCAACTTCTGGACCATGGAAGCACTGAAATCTTGCTGGAACAAGTAGCAGGACCTCTGCAACATGCATGAAGGGTAGATTTCCCTCAGGTTGGGGTACCTCAAAGAAGAAAAGGAGGCATAGAGAATCCTCACGTTAAGAGTTTTGCCGCCCTGGGGTAGTAGGACCAGTAGAGGAATGAAGAGAAAGGAGTTTGGGGAACCTACAAGCAAAAAATTGAGCAACGCAGGCTGGAATTTGTCAGTGATCAATTCTTTGTGTAAAGAAAGTGTTGCTTCACCTTCCAATGTTAGGCAAACATTTTGAAGAAAGCCTCTGCTTCAGGGGTGCAACTTTAGTTAAAATATTTCACTTATAATATTTCTTCCAACATAGAACCTTTTTTAAGACCACGCATACATGGTAGAGCATGAATAGCCTTCTGGTTTAATAGCTTTATTTTCTGCGCATTTAATTTGCAATGACAGCAACATGATATATCCCATTTCCATTTTCCCTGCTAGTTTGAAAAACCAATTGTCATACACTTCAAAACAACATGACCTACCACAAAAAAGTGTTAAGTTTTTCAGGGGGGGAAAAAAAGCCACGTAGCTTTTTGTCAAAGCTCCACCACCAAATGGCCCACATGCCATAAACCAATCATGCATTTTGAAGATCAGATCTTCAACAATCCTTTTAACGTAATTTTATCTTGATTGGAATTTACACTTTTATTGTTTTAGAGATATTTTACGTGTTGGCATTATAATATTTTAATACTGTAAGCTGCCCGGAGCTTGTTTCATTACGAGATTGGTGGCACATAAATTGAATAAATAAATACATTTTAAAAAAAACAAAAAACCCAACCTTCCCTCCTCCATTTTCTTTCTCACCGGTTCCCCACCCCAGTTATCTAAGATGTGCAAAGCCATCATTGTTCTAAGTTAAGAGTTCCTCTTGTTTGGGAGGTATTCTTCTGAAGCAAGGATGAAGACGTACTGGAGCTTTCTTGATGTCGTTGCCCGCCCATTCGGCAAAATCTGGACCGATCTAAATGCCGTCGACGTTTCCTCCTCTTCAGACGGAGGAAGGAAGTAACAGCCCTTCTGCTTCCAGGACTCAAGAGGTGACTTTGGAGCGAATCATCCGCATGTCGGTGACGGTTTTGTGCAAGTGGTATGATGCGACCCTGGTGTAGTGAAATAGCCGGATAGTAAGATGCACTTTTTGTCGGCCTGATTCACAACACCAGCTGCAGCAACAATACCAGGAGGTCAGCCTGGAGCTTCTGGCTTCTCATCTGCTTTGAAGAACTGAGCTTGTTCCAGGATAAATCACAATTAAAAAGAACCCCCCCTCCCATCCAACCCCCCCTGTCCCCCCCAATCAAGCATTTCTCTAGGATGATTCTATTTATCAGCTGCACAATCTCCCTACGCAAAACTAGATTCCTCTCTGGGTCTTGGGGATGGACTAGAGCAAGAGTCTCCAACCTAGGCAACTTTAAGACTTGTGGACTTCAACTCCCAGAAGACTTCAACTCCCAGCTTCACTGGCTGAGGAAGTCTGGGAGCTGAAGTCCACAAGTCTTAAAGTTGCCAAGGTTGGAGACCCCTGGACTAGAGGATCTCCAAGGTCCCTTCCCTCCCTATGAATCTTGAGGAAACAGAGGAAAGAGAACAGAGAAACATAACTATCAGATACTAAAATCAAGAACCCTCAACAGGAAGATCTCACAAATAGCTTATTTTTAACCAACTATTAGTGAATAATAGAAATAAATACTCCTAAACTCTCAATATTTAAATTTCCAGAGAGGAGGAGACACTCCTGAACATTTCCTTTCCTTCTTTCTCTTGATGCAACATAAATGCTTCAACACACCTTCCTCCGCTAGTGATCTGCAAATGAATTGGACGGAACAGCTGGAAATTCTCTTAAGTTGGGTTCCTCACAGAAAATAGGACAAAATACCATATTTTTCAGAGTATTAGACACACCTTAGTTTTTGGGGAGGAAAATAAGAAAAAAAAATATTCTGCCTCTGCCTACCAGCATCCACGGTATTCATCTGGCTAGCGTCCTGTCATGGTGTGAGAAAGTTGAAGGCTGTATGGAAACACACAGTATTTGCTGTGTGAGCAACAAGGAAGGAGACAGCCAGGAGCCTGGGCGTGGCTTGTTCTGTACTAAAGCTGCATGCTGTGCTGATATCTGAAACTAAAATTGAAAGTGAAACTTCTCTGCTGAACTACCCTGTTGGAAAACCTGCTTTTGGTATTGTATATTTACTTCATGTGTTATATTATATATAAAGAGAAGTTATTGAATTCTGCTGAATCAGCTATTTGTGTCTGCTTTCTGAATGTGATTGCTGCTACAAACTCTGACACCTCCTTGCAGCAAATGGCGAATAGCCAGGTGAGCATATTCAGCACATTATTGCAGCCTGGTTCAGCATGAGCAGCTGATTGGCGGGTGGGTCGGCCTCCCTGAATACCCCCAATCGGCTGTTCCAGGCTGCAGGGATTGCCACAGACTTTCGCCTCCTCGGTGCCTCGTGTTTTTGGCTACATTCGATATATAAGACCCACCCAAATTTTTACTTTCTTTTAGGGAATAAAAAAGTGAGTCATACTCCGAAAAATACAGTAAGTGTGTGTGTGAATCCATGGAAGGACCCCCAAAAGTCAGTTCATGGCTGTGCAATTGCCCCTTTTTTGCATGCATATATTTATTTGCGAATTATTTCTTCCTGCCCCTGAAAGTTCACTCAAAATTAGAGTTAACCTAGAAATAATATTTTATTCTAAGAACTATATCTCTATATTGCTGTATAGGGCTTGCATCTGGGAATAATTAATATGACGATTAAAGGAGTGTGATATTCAGTATTACTTACGTTTTTAAAATACTGATTCTTTTAATAGTGATATTAGGCTTCTTGGTTGCAGTCTAAACTGAGAAATCCTTAGGAAAAGCTACAGTCTCAGTCACAAATCTCTTAAACAAGCAAAGAGGCGCTACAAGCTAACTTCATTCTCTACTTATCCCACATGTATAGGGGTGTTTAATTCCCATTATTTACCTTTAACTAATCAAATAGCATTTTTAACTTAGTAATGGTTATACCGGTTAAATATTTAGTTCCAGTTCTGCTTGCTTTTCTCCCAACCTGATTGGAAAAGTGTTTCATTGGACAGATTTAGAGATGTACTGTTACTCTTAGGAATTATGTAAAAAAATTATGCCAATTGTTTTCAATCACATTAACGTCACAACTCTCTCCCAGCCACCCAGGATCATACTGAAATTCAACAACCAACCATGAATAAATTTAGTATTATTTACCTTCATATGTTTTTTTAAAGGACATAAACATAGTGGAAATTATACTCCCCAAAAAACAGGTTAAAAATCCTATCTTCTTCACAATGTCAGTCTTATATATAGGGCTTTGAGCCATCCAGGGGAAAGAAAAATGACCATAAATTTAAGGATCTATTTCCCCCAAATATGCTAAGGCAGTTACTAAATTTCCACCACACATTAATCCATAAATTACCCGTTTCCATGTAGCCCAGAGGATTGGGCAACCCAACCATTATGTACATTACATTGGGTTGACTTTGACAAACAAGAATCAACTGTCAATGACCTGGAATGGAGGCAGTCACGGGGGGCAGGGAGGGGCCATTAATCTTCCAGGGAATAAAATAAGGACATAGTACCTGCTTCCTCTGGTCATAACTTTAAAAAGATCTTCCCTGTTTCCCTCCAAAAGAAGAGTTTGAAAAGTGAAACAAATAAATGAGAGAACGTAAGAAAAACGTGCAAAATAAAACAAGGTATCCGTAAAGCAAATACATAAATCCAAAGAAATTTATTGCAGTTGACAAAAAAAGGCATACAAAAAGAAAAGGAAAGGAAAGGAAAACGAACAAAAATTAAATTGGGAGGCCCATCACCATCACCCTTCCAAAGTGTGCACAAAAGAAACCTCTACTGCCAGCTGGTTTCCCCGCCCAGCTAGTTCATGAGGACTTCCATCTGCACTAGGCGAGCGTTGGTGTCCCCTGATGTTCTGTAGGGGATCATCCCGGCAAAGGTGATGAGTGCCCGAGCTTGAGATCGGAGTTGCTAAGGGGCATCAAAAGAAGGGGGGAAAATTAGCCAGGTCTGGGGAGAGAGAAAGATAGCTTGGGATAGGCCAATGGTGGGAATCAATTTTTTTTGCTACTGGTTCTGCAGCCGTCGCTTGGTGGGCTTGGCAGGGGAAGGTTACTGCAAAATCCCCATTCCCTCCTCACTCCAAAACATGGATGTCAAACTCGCGTCGTCACAGCAGCTTCATATGACATATTACAACTCCCCCCCCCCTTTCGCTAAACCAGGCAGGGGCGTGGCCAGCGCAGGACTCATCCGGCCCACTGGCCATGAGTTTGACAGCCCTGTTGTAGGAAAACAAATGGCAGAACCTAGGGTGGAGTTAAAAGAGGAATCAGGCTAGAATCCCTACGTAGTTATAAGTGAACTAATTCCAACTTCCCTTGAATTCCATTGAGCCTTATCTAACTCCAAGCAGTTGCTAACTGTCAGTTGGGAACATTTCAGTGCATAGGCAAGACTAGCAATACATCTGTTCAACTGGGTCTTCAGATCTGGTCTTTTGCACCTGACCCATCTGTGTTTAACGTCCATTAGAAGTAAGGCCAGGTAGGTGGCAAGCTAACATGTCAATGGATTTGTTTGGACCTTGTTCAGTTCTGACTGAAGGAGCTTCTTGGATGAGAAGTGAAACATCTTTAAGGGAAAAAAATTAAGGAAGCCCAGTCACCTCTCGAAAAAGCACCACTGGGTTAGTGGTCTGCATGTGTATGCATGCATTAAAATGCATGTGGCAAGAAATACGCAAAGCACACCTCTCCTGTGGAGAAAATGTATCCACAGAAAGAAGATAGGGATCATCTAGTCATTGGACTCCAAATTTCTTCCTAGCTATTAAATTTCCAGGATAGCCTTGGGCAAACCTCTCTTGGCCACATTCTCCTCGTGCGGAAGAAGTTTCTCTAGTCAAGTAATTGCAAAGGTCAGCTTTGCACAGCACTGAAAAGCAGATTTTTATAATCACTACTACTCTGAAGGTGACCTTGTCTACTAAGGGGAAAAAAGAACTTACCGAATCTCGGTCCTCAATGACTCGGGTGGGCCGAGCGGGAGTGGCTGGGCTGGCACATTTCAACCTCTTGTACTGGGTAAACAAGATATTCATCGTGGCAAGGAGGACCTCGGACAAATTGTGCCTGATCTAAGAAAAGTAAGAGGGGAAGAAAAAACAAGCAGAATGAAAAAGAGATAGAGAGAGAAAGAGACAAAGGCCATGCTGGTTTGATCCTAGAGAGTGTCAGGTTCCAAAGGATTAAGGAAAACAACCGAACACAGAGACGGTTTGAAAATGCAGCTTATCTCCTCCGGCACGAACTGACCAACAAAGCACTAAGGCAATAAATAAATTGTCAGAGCTGACATCCGGTGCTCCTCACCACTTTTTAGACTTTATTTGATATTTAGGCTAAATCCTACCCACCCCTGCGCGTGGCACACCCATCACTTCGTGACCTGGAGTGGAAACCACCACCCGGCAGTCAGTTCTGGAGAGTTCTGGAGAGTTCTCAGCAGGACAGCTGGCTTGCTTGTGGAGGAGGGAGATCCCCAGCTGGTAAGCACAATTCCCAGCAGCTCCCACAGCTCCCCCACCCCCATGGCAGCTCCGGGCCTGTGGGCTCGCCAGAGCTGACAAGAGAGATTGTTGAGGTGGATTGTTTCAAATTGTTCTTGGGGTTTCCTTTGGTGGCAACTAACTTCAGGAACGAAGGGATTCGGGTGTGGAAAGTTGTGAGTTACAGCTGATAGCCAGGGGTCAAACCTGTGGGGCTTCAAACGGTCTGCCAATTCTAGCCTCCTACATCTCCTCTCCCCTTAACAAACCAAGTTTTCAAAAAGGCGCAGTGTTGCGATTTTCTGGGCCAATTTTAGTCTGTTATGGGGATTTAAGAATGGGAATAGAAGCAGTATGTATTCATTCACTTTTCCCAAAAAAGAAAAAAAAATGTGAAAAACAAAAAAAGAGGAGAAAAATGCAAACAAATTGCCCTCCAATGAGATCTCCACCTTACTATCATTACCTCTGCAGCTTTCTAAAAATTTGCGAGGTTGATTGGTGACCCCACACACTCCCCAAATATTTTAGTTTGCGGTTTTATCCCTAAGCATCTTTCTTGTTCCCCTTTTCAGCCAATATGACAATGGTGAACCGCATGACCTTGACAACAGTGGAGTGGAGGCTCAAAACTCAAAATGTTTTTTGAGTTCAAAATGCTCCTCAGAAATTACCCTTCCAATTTTAACAGAAGTATTGTTGGATGCAGATGTTACTGATTGATCAATATTTAAAATCTCTAAAATTGCCTATCCTGAATAGCAGTAGCAATAGTACTTAGATTTATATGCTGCTTCATAGCTCTCTCTAAGCAGTTTACAGAGTCAGCCTATTGCCCCCAACAATCCTAGTCCTCATTTTACCAACCTTGGAAGGACAAGAGGCTGAGTCAACCTTGAGCCTGGTAGGATTTGAACTGCCAAATTACAGGCAGCTGACAATCAGCAGAATTAGCCTTTAACACTGCACTCTAACCACTGCACTACCATGGCTCATAATGGGAGTACCTGTATAACTTCCCTAACTCTGTTTTTGTTTTTTTCTTGCATGGATAGTTTGACATGATTTTTGGAAAACTGGAGAACGATGGCAGTAGAAAGGTAACTTCTCGTATAGATCTCTGCCCTTGTTTTGAATAGCCCAATGACAATGAATGTTCAGTATAAGGCCAAAATATTATTTTTTTAATTTTTTTTTAATTTTTAATTTAAAACAAATACATCATCCTTCTTTACATGCTATAGAAAGTGTATCAGTTGGTTACAAAAAAAACCTTTCGTGCATCTCTTCCACAGTCAACAAACATAATTCATATTAATTTAAGTATTTAACTCAAATATTCATACATATCACCATCATTATACCTCCATTTTCATTTGACTATAATTGTTTAAACGTCCTTCATCATAAAATATAG